CATCCAGGTCGCTGACTTCAGTGTGCATCTTTGGCAGGTTTGCTGGGTCTTATGTGCTGCCTGAGTTTGGCAATTGTGCACAGGTACAGACAGTACCTACAGAAGTGTCATATAGTTTATACACCATATACTAGACATCAGCAGGACATCATGTTTTTGCCTACGTAATTGATGCACAAAGTTTTTGAATCATAAGGTAGAGCATATATATGTTTATGCTGCTTTTCAAACTGATGAGAATGTTTTCACACTGTTAAATTTTGCAGTATAGGCACTTCTGAAAGCAAAACACAAACATGAATCAGTACTCTCACCTGTACTTTCACTGCTAGTGACATAATATTTGCCTACCCGAAGGTTCTTTTTTTCCCCTCCTATAAAAATACTGTTTTCAGATTCAGGTTTGAAGCTTAATCCTCTTCTTATTTATCTCAGCATCAGTATGGAGTGAACACTTACCTATAGTTATTTCAGTGGAGTTGCTCTAGATTTACGCTATGACTGAGAACATTGCATGGCTCATGTAGTTTCATGAATTATTAACCTGCACGCATAGTTATTTTGGGAATCATCCCCAACTCTATAGTTTTCTAAGTCATTTCTGAAGATGACCCAAAGATGAGTTTGCATCTTAGGTAACTTTATATTCACTGGCATGGGTTCCAAAAATAATACAGCTGTGGTAGCAATGGGTTCAGCATTGGCTGCAAAACCTAACAACCTAAAAAAATACAGAGGTATTTATTCACAAGATTAATTTGCCCATGCAGAGCTCCAGGCTACTGCAGCTGGGCTGATTTTAGTACCTAGGAGAGCCAGTATCCAGATCCAGCATCTGGATCTCTTGTGGACATGCTCCTAGGAGATCCAGTATCTGGATTCAGCAACTGGATCTCCTGTGGACATGCTAAGTACAGCCACAGTAAAACAGAGCTCAGCATGGTTTGCAAAACCCACCTTCAACATTGGGTAAATATCTGTCTGGGCGGTTTGTACTGAAGTCTGCACTGATGTAGTTCCACTGCTCCATTTAAAGCTAGCTCAGGTACCTCCATGTGATCTGCAGTTACACCCTTGTTTCCAGTGTATCTATATCCAAACAAAAACCAGCTCCTTCTTAGCTTTGCCATGATCAGTTTTGTGTCATATTTTTTTGTCATATTTGGCTTTGTAGAATAACACTTCTGAGTATGAGAAAGGCTTCTGAACACACAGCTAAAGCAGCCCTATCTGACTGCACTGGCTATGCAGATTTCAGCTCACTCCTGTTCCCTTTCGTACAAACGATGAAGCAGAGGCAGGATCAGGTGTAGAGCTACATAAATTACAGAGTCCTGCTCAGCAAAAATTTAAACAGTACTAATTCCGTTCCCATTATAACCTGGAACAAAAATGATTGCACTGAAATTTCACTGTCAATAGGGAGCTGCTTTCCAGCATGTCCATGAAATGCCAACAAGTGGTGTTCCCACGGGCACAGGCAGCTGCCTAGTGAAACTGGCAATGATTGTATGCTACAGTGGCAGAAAACAGGTCAAGAAGAGACCTTGTGAGGTCAATTAGCTCATACTCCCATCCTCAAAGGGAAAATTGTACTGATGTCAGTCGAGATAGTGGCCCTTTTTAAAGATCTCTGTTTCTTTTCTGAATAACCTCATAACTCTGCTCCTGACGGCTCCCAAGGTGCATGAAGGCAGATGTGCTCTGGGGATTCCTGCAGAGCCTGGGACCTGTCGACTCTGGGCACAGCTTCTTCCTGGGTTGCTCAGCTCTCAGAGAAGCCTTCTTCTTAGGATGAAACAGCATGGAGAACTGTAAGAAAAGAAAAATCCCTCTTCTCAGGACTCAATCCATTAGGATACCCTGGAGGGACAGATCCAGGAAGTTTATCCCTGTTTATGTCTTCTCCCTTTGTGGCAGGGATACTGGAAACATAAGAAAACCTAAGATCTCTCAGTGGTAGTGGACTCAGGAGTGTGACTTTGATTGTAAGTCCTAAGGGTTTCAGGTGAGGGCCGAGTCTAGAATCTTTTGGGAGCTTCATGGAGGACTTACTCTTCCAGGGCTTCCAGGTTCCCCTCTCCTGGACAGCAGTCTCATAACGTGGCAGGTTGCTAGCCCTGCAGAAGTCTGCCAAGGGAATGATACCCCTCTGCATCCGGAGCCTTTCCTGCTGCTGCAACACATTTTAATTTTGACAAGTTGGCATTTTCAAAAGAAACACTGCTTAGTCAAAAAATGGCCAGCCAGTTGTGACATACGTGTTGTAGTTTCTCTGTAGCAGGGGAAACGGTAGATCACCTAGTCTGGACTTAAAAAAAAAGATTCCCAACAAGTTCTAAATAAAATTTGTAGAGAGAGAGAAAAAAGAACAATGTGCTATTTCTCCTCTTCCCTGTATAACCGATAGCAAAGATACCACGTGGGGACCTTGCAAATATACTGTAAAAGGGCAGTTATATGCTTCTGAGCCTGTGGATGGAAGGAAACTAAAGACAATAAATTAATAAATAGTATTTTCTATAATTGTTCTTCTGCGTGTACTTATACTTTCACACCATACTATGCTGTATCTGTGTTGGCCAACTTCCCAGGGACAAAATGCGGCAGCTGCCGTTAGTACCGAAGTGGACACATACTTCGTGTCGCTTTCCTCCGGTAACATGTGGGAGAGATTAGATAAGCGAGGGTGGCTCCTGCTGTGGGGAGTTATTCACGCTCCAGAGCACTTGAAAGGTATGCTGCATCTCACACATCGGTGTGAGCCCTGCCAGAAAGTGCTACATCAAAAAAAAGCTGCTTCATCAAAAAGCAATACGCGCGTCGACCACAGCCGTACCACTGATTTAAAGACAAAAACACTCCTTTTCGGCTTAATACAGGTAGCCTCCGAGAAAACAGCAGCTGTCGATCCTGGTTATCTTTGATGTAGGCTTCTGACGGTCGAAGTGAGAAGTAAGAAATCCAAACTATCAGAAACTATTTTTCCCAGCCGCGTGAAATTTACTTTGTTTGTAGCTGTGTTTGTGCGTGTCCTTTATTCCCGTTGTTTTGGGGTCATCCTTTTTTTTTTTTTTTTTTTTTTTTTGGGTACGAAATAAAACCGCCCGGGACGCCCT